TATAAGGCACAATTCTGGCAACGGCAAAGGGTATGGGTAAGCCAGTTACTTTCTAAAATGAGTTTAAACCAGGGGTCACACACTGGTAGCCAGCTGGCTGAATCTAGCCCACAGATGTGTTTTCTTTGCCCTGAAGTGCTGGCCCACTCAGAGCTTTTAAGAAATTTCAGTCTGTTGCCAACATTAAAAACCAGGAGATTTCACATGAAAATCTGGATTTCCAGTTTCTTTTACAAAATAAAAGATCTGGTAACCACATTTACACCTGCAAAAAAGTAGCTGGCACAGAAAAATGGCTGGCTCTTCGGAGAGCAGGTGCAGCCAGTCTCTCCTCTCCACCCAACCCCAGCCTAGCTAGGTCTAGTCCAATCATTTGTATGACCCATTTGGGTCTAAAGGCCCTGAGTTGGTGACCCTGGGTTTAAAAGATTGCCAAAGCCAGTCATTATTAGACTTTTCCCAAAAACATCTGCAATAAGAGACTCTTCAATCAGTATTATGACAGCTATGATAGAAGGTAAAGCATAGGAGACCCAAGCGATTGAGAAATGGAAAATCCCACTAGTGGACCCACTGGATTCCTGCCTTAGGATACTCATTTTTTGTTTAGCAAATACATTCACTCTTGGGAATTCATTTATTCCCGCCAACATTTCTGCAAGGAAGTCTTTACTCTCAGATAAACAAGCTGAAGCTTAGTGATGTTTAGATAAGTTATCCAACCAAGATCAGCTCTCCACCCCCCACTAAGTTGCAAACCTTATAAGGCTGTTGAACAGGTTTAGTTCAGCTGCAAAAACCATGCCTTTGGAATAGTGAAAAAATACTTTGTAAAGTCCAAGAGGCTTATTTCCACCCCTGGACCCTTGCGGCAGCTGCAACCTCTTCCTGGAAACCTCTCCACTCAGATCTTCACATGGGAGGATCTTATGCTTCATTGCCATCATTGCCACAGGGAGGTTTTCCCTAATCACTTCAAGTAACATGCAAGCTGCTCAAAGTGGGGCCCAGAGATCAGTAGCATCAGAGTCACCAGGAAGTCAGAAGGCCCTTCCCCAGATGCCCTGCTCAGGATCTGCATGTTAACAACTTCCCAGGTGATTCAAGAGCATTTAAAGTTTTACAAGCACTGCTCCACAGGAGCTGCCCCGCTGTCCAGTGGAAACATAATGTGGGTCACAAGTGTAATTTTACATTTTCTAGTAGCCACATTAAAAAGATAAAAGGAAAGACTTTGGTTGTTGGCTGTCTCCCTCACACCCTGCTGAAATGTGGGTTCCAGGAGAGCAAGTGCTGCTTCTGTCTTGTTCACCCAAAACTGTCCTGGCACACGGTAAATATTAAATGTTTGTTCAACGAAAGCAAGCAGGAAGGAAAAGACCTGTAGCACTTTATGTGTGGCGGTGTGGCGCCAGGAAGAAACCAGCTGTCTGAAGCAGGAAAGATGTGATCAGCTCAACCACTGAGCTACAGAGTGACTGTGTGCAAGTCTCACCCTCTGGGGGCCACTGTAAGGCAGCAACACTGCTGCCATTCAGCTCTCAGCCTCCCAGGGCACCCAGATGTGATAAAACCTCTAAAAAGCACCAACCACCTCAGGAGTCGGGCCCCCTCATTGGCTGTGTCTTTCCATGGTCCCCTTTCATTCCCTCTCCAGACACCACGTGTGATCACAGCTCTGACCACTTCCCTCTGGTCACACACACAAGCAGGCTACTGAAACTGATGTCCTGCGCTCTTTTCCCTTAGCCAAGAAGACTTGAGCGTTAACTCTTGGCAGTGAAGACAACCTGAATCCATGGAAGGTCACTTCTCATGGCACTGGGGCTGAGCAGGTTCTAAACCAACGCCAGCAAGGTTGCTGACAGTTTGTAAACCACGAGGGAAGGGCAGCTCCAGCTGCCTCTGTCAATTTGGTGAGCTCTGCGGTAGCCAGTTAGTTAATCCCATCCCTTCCCAGAAGTTAAGGTCTCTATGCAGACAGCTTGCATCAGCTCACCCGGAAAGGTACATTGTGGCTTTGCTCTTTCTGGGAGAGAAGGAGCCGAGTGAGAAATGAGCAAAGGGTTTATTCAATCCCCCCAGCTGTTAACCACTGGCCTGTGTCAATCCGCCAAAGGAAGCTTGCTTCTCCAGAGCTGCATGACACACATCCTAATCCATTAGTCCATCTCGCCCTGAAAAGCTGATATACGTGTTCTATACCCTCACATGTGTTTTTAAATCACATGAGATCAACAGCATAAGGAGAAAGCAAATGGATTTAGATATAACTGGAGTAACACCAAGGACATAAAACTGTGAGGGCTGCTTAGTTAGATATGAGGACAGCCCAGGACAGCCAGCTCGGTCCAGGGCAGCCCCAGTTTCTTCTTGTTCTCCCTCTTGCTGAAGACACAAACAGCAGAAACACTTGCAGACTTAGTAGGAGATTAGGAAGCATGTTGAAAAGAAAAAAAAGACAAAACAAATGAATGGGGTGGGGGACAAAACTTTCAATTAACCTGTGGATCTCTAATCGCTCAAACAGCAGAGTAAGATTATGCATTAGACATGTGGTCCACATGGAGGAGGTGGGTCCATTCAGGTACAGATGCCATTATTTCAGAGACTGGGAGGTAGACCAGGGACCCAAGAAGATGGCTTTCTGTTACTCATTTGAATCCATGTCACTGTTTCCTCTTCTGCAATATAGTGAGGGTGTCACTTCCTCTTCCTACATGGGAGAGAGACAGAGCCTGAAGATTCAGATCCTGAAGAGATGGAGCTTGTAAAAAGCCCACAAATGACCTCAAAGCACTACTGTCCCTCGAAAGGTTGGAGGCTAGTTCCAGCACACTCTGCTCCTGTGAGCCCAAGGGGTTTCTGCTAATGGTTTTGTCTGTTGTGCCAGTACTTCCAATCAGCACCACTAAACATTATCGGATCTACCAGAGGCAAGACTTTTGGATAAAGGATAGAGGACGCAGAGGTATCACAGGGTCCTCTTAAGTAAAGATCAAGGGACTCCCCTCTGCCCACATGTCTTCACACTAACATTTCTCCAGCTGCATCCCAAGGATTGACATCGAGCTCCTACACCGCGAGTGATATACCACCACAGTGCTGGAATAATATCTGCAGTGACAGCAGGGCAGTTTATATGCCTTCTTTCCCCAGCCTAGTTACAAGAGAGCATACGAAAATCTCGCATCTTCTACCCCTTTATTCAGGTAAGTCTCCAAACCTAACCGTGGATTTCCTTACATGCATTCCACCACACACACTTCGTCAACTTCAATAAAACAATCTCTTCTCTACTTCCGGCTGCTGCAAAACAATCCAACTACATGTTGGAAAGATGTGATCTTTATGCCTCCCTCCCCTTCAAAGGGCATTTGCCCTTCTCACAAGATACAGAGCTTTAAAATCAGACTAGGAAAGCTAGTTAGCCTCCTAGGGCTACCCCACTGAAGAAGCCAGCACAGTCCTCCAACCAACAGTTAAACAACTGAAACCAGACATCATACCCTCTCTCTATTTTGCTGTTGTTGCATTAATCATTCTAACACCTTTTTAATTATAACCGCAAACTGGAAGCCAGGGCTTGTGATGTTATAAATACTGATTTTCCAGTTAAATTAGGCATTTGCTGTTTTATGTTTTGATAGGAAGGGGCTGTTTGAAGCCTCCTAAAATATTGCAATTAGTTCTTTCTGTTGAAACAGACAAGACATTAACAGACACATTTGCTGGTTCAGTTTAATGTGCTGGAATGTTTATGACTAAGTGTACTTCTCTGAAGCTTTGAAAGCATAAGGCATATTTCTTTAAAGTGGAAGAAATCAATCACGAAACACACATTTATTATGTTTTTTCTGAGGTTATTTCCAAGACTTTCTCAGGCTGTAATTTAAACTTAGAAAGCATGTCTCTTCAACAGGAAGATGACTTGTCAGGAAATAATCCTTATTTTACCTATTGGCTCTGTTAGGACGATACCATCACTTTAACAGACAAAGCTCGTGTTGCTGTTTGACAATTGCAATTAATTACTGAGATGCAACCAACATGAGGCCAGCTACCCAGATCTGTTTTCCAGCAAGATGTGAAAGGGGAGGTAAGAAGGAAGGGGAAAAAAAAATAAAAATAAAAGCAAAGGAGGTGTGCACACGGGATATCAGCATCAGTGTGTTTTAAAGGTTACGGCTGGCAAGAAGGCTGGATTATTAATTTATTTTACCTGCACTTAACTTTCTACTCCTCTCTCCCCCTTTCTAACACCGCTGACAGCCGGTGGAAAAGGAAGGAGAGGAACATCTCACAAGACAGAAGCTCCAATCTGTTGCGAAGGAGGCGGGGGTTAGAAGGGGCACGGGTGCAGGGCAGGCACACCCGAGAGCACCAACTGTCAGGCAGACAGGATGCTCCTGGTGCCAGATCAACCCAGAGCTCGTTCGCCAAGGGAGACAGAAAGTTCTGGAGATGGGGAACATGCTCGGTCTTTACTAGAAAGCCAAAACTCGCCATCATCATTTTAACTGTTCCCTACTCGTTTTGCTCTAACCTGAAAATACTAAAGTTGGATTTCAGCCACGCAAATGCGTTCGAGGGCGAGTTTGAGAGATTCCAGGGGATCTCAAAGCCCCGGAATCCATCTCGCTCTCCAGATTCTTTCCTCGGCGTCCCCAACACAGAGGCGCAGAGCCCCGCGAGGGCAGGGTCGGGACCAGCCCTGGGGCTGGCGGGGATTCCCCGGCTCCGAGCGGGACAGATTCCCGGAGCGTCTCCGCGGACCGGGCGCCCGAGGCGGGCGGGGCGGGGCGGCACTGGCTCCCCTCGCCCGCCTTAAAGTGCCCCTCGGCGGGTCCCCGGCCCCCCCGCGGCTCTCCGAGCAGCCCCGCGGGGTCAGCGGCGCCCCCGGGGTTCGGGCCCTCGGGCGGCGGCGCCGGATGCGCGGGGCCGGGGAAGGCGCGCGTCTCCCCGGGTCCCCGCGTCTCCCCCCGGGCCCGCGCGCCTACCTGTACCACTCCAGCCCCTTCTCGTAGTTCCTGTCGAAGAAGTGCGGCTCGACGCCCACCGCCCGCACGTCGGGGTGCACGCGGATGGCCTCCAGCAGCGCGCGGGTCCCCCCTTTCTTGACCCCGATGATGAGCGCCTGCGGCAGCTTCTTCTCCCCGTAGTCGGGGGTGCTCGCGGCGGCGCCCCTCTCGCCGCTGGCGTTGGCCGCCCTCCGGCCCGCCAGGTCCTCGCCGGCGGTGCTGGACTCCGGCGCGTCCCTCTCGGGCGGCGCGCCCCGCGCCCTGGCCATGTCTCCGGGGGCGTCCCGGGCGCCGCCGCCGCTCGCCAGCCCCCAGCCGTCCGGGCCGGGCGCGGGGGCGGCCCGGGGGGCGCGGGGGGCGCGGGGGGCGCGGGCGGCTCCCCGCGGCTCGCGTTGTCCGGCGGCGGCGGCGCGGGCGGCGGCGAGGGGGCGCCGGGGCGCGCGGCGGGGGGCGGCGGGGAGGGCGGCGGCGGGCTCGGCGGGGGCGCGGCGGCGGCGCCCGGCGGCTCCTGCAGCGCCAGCGGGAACTGCAGGGAGCCCGCGCCGCCCAGGAGGCTGTAGCACAGGTAGGTGACGGACAGGGACACGGTGCACATGAACAGCAGCTTGCGCGCCGGCGGGCCCTTAGCGGAGGCGCCGGGCGGCGGCGGCGCGGCCGGGGGCGGCGGCGGGGGCGCGGGCGGCGGGGCTGCGGGCCTCGGGGCCATCGCGGCGCGGGGCTCGCGGCGGCGGCGGCCCCCGGCGCTGCCCGGACATGGTTTCAGCCGCCGCCCCCGCCGCCGCCGCCGCCGCCGCTGCCCAGCGGCCCCGGCTGCATGAGGCGACGCCGCCGCGCCCCCGGGCCTGGCCGCCGTCCCGCCGCGCCGCGGGGGAGCCCGGCCGCATGGCCCCTCCCGCCCCCGCGGCGCCCGGGCGGCCCCCGCCTCCCCCGCGGCCGCGGGCGAGGGGCCCGAGGGGGGCGCGCGGGCCCGCCGGCCGCACCTGCTCCGTCCGTCCGCGGCGCCCCCGCTTCCCCGCGCCGCCGCGGCTCCGCTCCAGCCTCGGCCGCCGCCGCCGCGCGCGGTTGCAGCCCCGAGTTCCTTCCCCGCTGCTAACTTTCTGCCGGAGAGCGGAGCGGGGCGCGCGGGGAGGAGGAGGAGCAGGGCCGGGCGCGCGCCCCGCCGCCGGGGGAGGGGGAGCGCCTCGCGCGCGCCGGCGGGGGGGCGCGGGGCGGGGGCGTGCGCCGGGCTGGGGCGCCCGGGAAGCGGAGACCGGCCCCTCCGCGCCCCGCGCCGGCTCGGGAGGCGCTCCCCGCCCCGGGAGCCTGCGAGGGCGCGCCCGGCCCTCTCCAAGCACTTTCCCGGCCCGCGCGTGCCGGCCCGCCCGGGCGCCGCGCACCGGGCAGCGGGGCGCTCCCGGGCGCCGCGCTCGGCCGCCCCCTGTTCCTCTGGGACACCCGGCAAACTCGGCCCAGGGCCGCCCGCCCTCCTCTCGCCCTGGCCAGCCGCCTGCCTGTGGCCCAGGAGTGATTTCTTCTCCTCAACACCTTTCCCTTTCCAACTCCCATCTTCCCAGTCTCGCCCTCTTAGCGCGAGGCGCCTGAAGGGTGGAGCTCGGACACGAACCCCCCTGGGCTCCCCGCCCCAGCCTCGGGCCCGCCGCCGCGGGGTGGCTGCGCTCTCTGCTCCGAAGGCTGAGGCTGTGCCCCGCTCTCCCTGGGTCAGCCGCGGGCACACACCTCCCTCCGCGCCCCTGGGGGCTTGGCACTACAGGGCTGGACTGGAACAGACTCACACCACCGTCCCTCTAAACGCGGAATAAGCAGCGGCAGGCAGGGTGCGGGGTGCCTGTGACTGCTTCATTTAATTTTTTTAAGTGTATTTTCTTTGCAGAGAGATTTCCACCCCTCGCCTCCCTCTCCTGGGAGGAAGTGATCGACATCAGAAGGCTTTGGGAGATTCAAAACTAGACTCTGCTTCCCTTTGCCTTTTGCTCGGGGAGGCGGGGAGAGTGGGAAGCTGGAAGGGGAGGCAGAGAGACCCCATCATCCACTGAGACACTCGAGGAAATCTGCTTCCAGGGTCAGGAGCTGGTCCTGCTCATCTGGGGCTGGTTCCAGAGAACCCCATTCCCCCTGTTACCCGTAGCTTTCTTCTCTTGGGCTGATGTGGTTGGCATCTCGGTTTTGTTTGATCACCTAACGGGAACAACAGTTGAAAGGAAAGGTATATAATGTCTAAATATTAACGAGATACATACTGCCAGGGTGGGGCGGAGGGAGGTTGTTAATCAAATAAGATGAAGAACGCGGACTTTTCCCTGAGTGAACAAAAGCTCACTGCTGCTCTCAGCTGGACATGAGTTTCCTTCACTGCAGCTTTAGTTCAGATAAAGATTATTCCTTTATAATATATTTTTTATGGTACACTGGAGACCTCTGAAATGCAGAGTCTGGTGTCCTGTAAATCATTCTGTGTAACTAGGGATGCTTTTTCACACACCACACAACTGCATTACTGTAATGTTAATGGCAGGGGCCAACTGGAGCTGAGAGAAACACAAGCTCTGCCGGTGCCTTCTTCCTCTCCAAGCCCTGCTCTGGAGGCTCAGCCCCCAGCCCCACGCTGCAGAAAAATAGCAACACTACCATAGTCACCCCTCTTTCCAGGTCCAGGCAGCAGGATGCACAGCACGTGGCCCAGAGGCTCCCTGCATCACAACCAAACATCATCCACCCTCTCAGCAATCCAAATGAACCTGCTTAGGATCTTTACTAAAACTATGCTCCATATTTAAAAAGATTTTGACAAAATGGTATTAAAATTTAACCTAGAGGTGGCAAATGGGGAGCCCCAATGTGACCAGCAAAATGACTTTCAAACTGGGTGGAATATTTTAAGATTGAGGGCTTCTCCCTTCCTTAATCTGGCTATGGGGTCTCTATTAATATATCACAGATCCAGCAACTCAAGGCATCTTGGCAGATTGAGAAGCTGCTATCCCCTTAGATGGAGCATGTGAGCCCCAATCTTCATGTACCCACTGGACTGCCCCCAAGGCATTTATGTTATTTGCGTCAACACTGATAAAGGAAACCTGGCAGTATCCCTTCTCCCCCGTTGGTCCCCAAATAAGAGATTCTCAAAAGAATGGAGACTGAATGGTGAAATCTCAGATCCCACAACAGTTGAGGAAGGGGTGATTTCTTTTTTTAAAGAGAGCATTGTAGAAGGTTCACTTAGCCACACCTATTTTTTTTTTCCCCTCTACTCTTCATCCAGGCTTTTACTGGGAACAAATTCTTGAGGAACCTGTACTGAGATGGAGGAGCCACGTAAGGAGAACTCAGACCCCCCCACCAATTCCCAGTGGGGCTGGAGACCAGAGAGAATGCATCTCTCTGTTTCCACTGCCAACACCCATGCTTATTCAGGCCTAACTGAGTTTTTACAATATTCCTCCAACGGGTCTCCAGGCCTCCAGCAAGCCTCATTTCTATTCATCCAAGACAACAATAGCAGATCAATGTTTCTGAGGCTTGGCTCTACTAATGCCCTGCCTGGCTCAGAACCCTTCCTCTCACAGCTTAACTCATCAACTGTAACCTCTTTCCTTTAGCACTCACGGGCCCCTCCACCTTCCGTGGAGCTCACATCCCTGCCAAACCAAACAGTGCATGCTAGCCAAACATGCACATTGCATTATTTGGTTCCATTCCTGTCTGATCAGATGATAGAGTTAAATCAAACCTGTCATTTGCTAGCTAAGTGGCTTTCGGACAGGTCATTTCATCTCCTTGAGCCTCAGTTTCTGAATATATAAATTATGGATAATAAGACTCACCTTATTTTTTATAAGGAATTAAATTGACTTAGCTAGCATATGTAAAGAGACTTGGCTCCCAGCCTGACATGGGGTGATTACCAATAATTATTTGGTTTTTTGGTTAGATTTTTTTAAATTCATTTTTGCATCAAAGAACTGGGGTGCAGGCCAGAGGTGTGGGGGTAAGAGGATTCCCCAGAGACAGAGTGGGGAACAGAACAGGTAGTGCTACTGAAATACACTGCTCAGGGGAGCAGCGGGCGAAAGAGAGGTAGGTCACTGCGCCATGTGAACTCAGGCCATCGTGGTGGTGGCACTGAGACTTAACCCCTAGGCCATCAGGGAGGCCCCCCCCCCAATAATTATTTGAACCTACATATTGGCTCAGGCCATGCCCTGCTTCATTTCCCATTAAAATCTTACCCTTGAAAAGTATGTGTGTACCCTTTCTTCAAAACCAACCTAATGTGTAAGCTGAAGTTCACTTTCCTAAGCTACTCAGTAGCATTTATAACGACAAATGTAATACCTTCTTTTTTTAAAAGTTTTTTAAGTAATAAAAACTACTTCTGGTTAATTTCAATTTGTTTTGGCTTTTTATTAAAGATATTGACTAGCAGGATTTATGATAACCCACTGAAGGAAATTTTTAAAATTCAACAAAGGCAAAAATAGGCTTTGAAAGGACAGTAGCAGGTATTTTCTTGGCTGCTTAAAGTTAATTTTCTTGGCTACTTAAAGTTAGCTGTGACCCTATGACTCTCTGATCAATGAGACATAAACAGAAGTGAGAGTGTCCCCACCAGGTAGATGATTTGACAGACAGTGGGAAATTTACCAGTGGGTGTGTTCTTCCTTGCTGGCAATTGAGCAAGGAAGGGATTGAGCTGGTCTTTGCTGCCAACTTGTCAATCCTCCACACTGAGCATAGATAATACAGATCCTACCCCTGAGGAAATATAGCATGATTGAGAGATAAACTTTGGTTGTTTTCAATTCCTGACACTTGAGTCATGGTGGTTAATAAAATACAACTTAGACTATCTGGCTATTTAAAGCACACGTACTATTACTTTTCTCTGCTGTTGACCAAAACAACTTTTTTAAAAAGATTTATTTATTTATGCATACGAGAACTGGGGAACAGACCAGAGGTGCAGGGAGGGGGTAGCTGAGAGGATTCACCAGAGACAGAGGCAGACTGACTGAGATACACTGCTGAGGGGAACAGTGGGCAAGACAGGAGAGTTCTGCTGTGCCATGTGGGTAGCTCTCTGGCCAGCTGGGGATCATTTACAGTGCTATGATTAGCCTCTTGCACCACCAGGGAGGCACCCAAAACAACTTTCGTAATCCATATTAGAATTACCTTTCACAAAGTTGGATGAATGACAGATTTGAAGTCTACACTGTCCCAACGGTATTGTTATGAGACAGAATCCTTATCTGATACATAGCAAAAATATTTCCCCATTTTGTCTTTTACCTGTCATTTAAAAGTGTATCTATATAAATCTGGTAGAGCACCATACAAAAGCAACATGGTGACAAAGAGAAAAGTTATATACTTAAAAAGAGAGCAAAAGATTAAATAATAATAATAGGTGCCATGAACATATAGGATCTTGCATTAAAAATAATCTCACATGGAAAATCAGGAAATACTTAGAGCTGAAAGCGCTACATGACCAAATTGTGTGTGTGGGGGGGGGGGGGGGCAGGGGGGAATGGAGAAATTCACCAATACTTAAAGGTAAGATTGTATCTTCAGTACCCAAAAAGAGAGTATGTTAAAACAAGTGAACTACATGTTCAACTCAAGAAGCTAGAAAAAGAGAAAGAAAGTGATGCCAGGAAGAATAGAAATGATAAAAATAGAGCCATTCATTTATTTTTATGTGCTATGGGCTGAATTGTATCTCCCCAAATTTCCTATCAAAGCCCAGCCCACCAATGTGACTGTATCTAGAGATAAAGCTTTTAGGAAGTAATCAAGGTTAAAGTGAGGTCATAATGATGGAACCCTAATGGAATAGAACTGTGGTCTTATAAAAATGATAACCTAGCACATGCGCACATTCTTACCTCACATACACGCATGCACCCTGACATCTGAAGACTCAGTGACAAGCTGGCCATCTGCAAGCCAGGAAGAGAGTTGTCACCAAAACCTGACCATCAGACAGCCTGGTCTCAGACTTCCATGCCACAGGAATATGAGAAAATAAATTTCTGTTGCTTAAGCTGCCCAGTCGATGGTCTATAATTCCAGCTGACTAAGACATTTAGCTTTCATGATTTGCAAGTGTTTATTTTCACCCATTTTCTATTGCTTAGTTGCTATTTCTGATTCATAAAAATCTCATATATTGAGGATATCAGATCTTTATCACATATCTTTCAATTATTGGGTTACCAGCTTGTATTTACAAATAAATTGCTTTTAGGGGTTTTAATTACATTTTTCATTATTATATAATTAATCTCTCAATGATTTCATTTGTAGCTTTTACCTTTGGTGGGAAAAGGTATTCCACAAAGCATGTAAATGTTCATCTACACTTTCTTCTAGCACATTTTTGGTTTATTTTCTACACTTAAATGTTTAAACCATCTGAAATTTATTTTGGTATACAGTTTCACACAGTGATTTAACTTCATTATTTGTCTTTACTTTTTTAGCACTAGTTATTTACCAATTGCTTGAAACTTGGTTACATATCAAACCCACAATGTTGGAATTTTCTCATCCAGAAATACAGAAAACAAACCTCCATTTATTCCAATCTTCTGCTTGATCCCTTATTACATCTGTAATTTTATGGATGTAAACCCTGTACAAATCTTTCTCTGAATAAGTATTTTGACATCTATTTCTGCTTTGTTCAATTCCATAATTTTGTGCTCTCTTTGTTTCATTCATTTATTCATTCTTGCAAGTGTCATTTTGAAGCAACTAATATATTCTGGGCCTTAGCTTAGACAGAAAGTATAAAAAAGTGAGATGGAAAAAAAAGATTCTTGTTTGTCATGAAGGCAGAAGCAATCACATAAGCAAGTTTAATAAGCTGAGGTAAGTACCAAATGAGAGAAAAGATAGAGTGCTATGGAGTGCATTGTTGGGGCACTGAAGCAACAAGCAAGAAAGGATGTGACATTTAAGTCCATATATAAAGGCAAAACTGAATTAAGCCAGGTAAATCTGAAGAGTATTTTTAGTATGTGTAGCATCTCACCTACTTCATTTGTTATAAATACATTTAGAAAACGAAATTGAATGCAACTTCCCTAAAAGGAAAAGGGTATCTGCAAAATACCTACAGCAAACATTACAATGAAACATGGCAAGATATTAGAAATGAACCCTTTAAA